AAACGTAAATTCATTTATACTATAAATTCACTTGCCAAAAACAACACCAACCATAAGAACCTCTGTTCTCACCCTGACCTAACGATAGATCAATGTACCTGCTCCCGTGTATTCCGCAAAGAACTCAAAAAACATCTAGACAATGGAGAGAAGGACCTGTACATTGACCACCATGCTGACTGTATCAAAAGTAAGTCACACAACCCGCAACTCAGCTTTAACCTTCAACCACAACCCTACCTCAACCACTCCACCATCACCCAAGACTAGGCACGCACGCCCCTAACTAACTCAATTCCAACTACAGTTGGCCTTAAATGCAAGCTACTCAATCAAGAAGCCTTGTGAATAAAATACCTGAATTTCTCTTCTTACTAAATAGGGCTAAATTCAACATCATATTTGTCTGTGAAACATGACTCAACGCATCTCTCCCTGATTCCATTACCACAATAACAGACTATCATGTTTACCGATCAGATCATGAAATTCATAGAGGAGGTGGCGTTGCTATCTTCTATAAAAAGTCCTTACATTTAAAAAGCATCCAAGTTACCCAGGAGCTTGGTCTTCCTGAGACCATCATCTGTGAACTATCCTTAAATATCACATTTCGATTCTTACTATGTTACAGAGCACCTGATTATGACATCAAACATGTAAACAAGCTAAATTCACTACTAACATGGGCAACATCCTGCCCACATACTTTTATCTTTCTTGGTGACTTCAATCTACCTCATATTAACTGGACCCTAAATGAATGTACAACTGAACTCATACATGCAACCTTCTACAATGCTATTACAAATCTGGGACTGGAACAACTAGTAACCAACTCATCATATTAAGAGCAACTGCATTCTCTTCGCTGCTGATGTAAAGCTGTTCAATACCACAGACAATACTGCTACCCTTCAAAAAGATCTTGACTATGTATCAAAATGTTCAAACAAATGGCAACTTCAAATCTCAACAAATAAATGCTCTGTCTTACATATTGGCAAAAAAGATCAGAAAATAAAATACAAGCTGAATAGTCAAGATCTTGTTGATGATCCAAGCTCTGTAAAGGACCTTGGAATACTCATCTCTAATGATCTAAGTGCTAGAGCCCACTGTAACTCCATAGCCAAAAAGGCATTAAGAGTTGTTAACCTAATCCTACATAGCTTTTTCTCTGGTAATATCACACTACTAACTAGAGTATACAAAACATTTGCTAGACCAATACTCAAATACAGTTCATCAGTCTAGAACCCACATTACGTATCTGATACTAGCACAGTTGAGAAAGTCCAGAAATATTTCACAAGAAGAGTTATCCACTCCTCTATTTGTTGTAGAATACCTTATGCCAACAGACTTGAAATTCTAGACCTAGAAAACTTAGAACTACGCCGCCTTTGGTCTGATCTAAGTATGGTATATAAAATCATACATTGCAATGTCCTACCTGTCAATGAATACTTCAGCTTCTACCATAACAACACAAGAGCACACAATAGATACACACTCAAGGTTAACCGCACCAAACTTGATGGCAGGAAATACAACTTCAGCAACAGAGTGGTCAATGTCTGGAATACTCTATCTGACTCTGTGGTTTCTTCCCCAAACCCCAAAAACTTTAATCTTAGACTGTCTACTATTGACCTCACCCCTTTCCTAAGAGGTCTGTAGGGGGAGTGTATAAGCTCACCAAAGTGCCTACCATTCCTGTTCTATTTCTTTTATTTTTCTTATATGTACCCATTTCATGTATTCATAACTATGTATATACTTATACCTATTATCTTGTAAGCAATTGACAAATCAAAATAAATAAATAAATAAAAATATTTCTCATATCTTGATTGTACTTGCAAGTGTGGCCACCAAGTTAAGTCCACCCCTTGATTTTGTACTTCCTATCTAGTTTTAAGTTTAAAATTCTCATTTAGAATACCTTCATAAAATACAATTTTTTTCCAAGCTAATAAGATTTGGATATATCAATGCTTCCATTGTAGAAAGCCAAGCTGGTATTTTCCTATAATTTTTCCATACCAAGATTCCTCACTTAATGCATTCCTCATATAATGTCTTTAAACAGTCTCCTTCCATACCATAGAAAAGTATGCTACCCTAATTGCAAATCATCCAGTGGTGGGATTTGAATAATTTAACAACCGGTTCTGTGCCCTAATGACTGGATGGGCATGGCTGGGTGGTCATATGACTGGGTGGGCATGGCCAATTTGATTGGTCTCACCCTTAGGAAATTTCTCCTTAGTCCAATTCACAATAAAATAGCACAATAAAATAGCACTGTTCCAATATTTATAATAGAACAGAGAACATTTAGAATAGAATAGAACAGAGTTGGAAAGGACCTTATATGTCTTCTAGTCCAACCCCCTGCTTGGGCAGGAAACCTTACACCACTTCAGACAAATGGTTATCCAAATTCTTCTTAAAAACTTCCAGTGTTGGAGCATTTACAACTTCTGGAGGCAAGTTGCACTGATTCATTGTTCTGTCAGAAAACCTGAGGGGCTCCTACAAAAATGAGGGAGTCAATCTATTTTCCAAGGCACCAAAAGTACAACAAGAAACAATGGATGGAAACTAACCAAAGAGAGAAGCAACCTAGGTCTAAGGAGAAATTTCCTAAGGGTGAGACCTATCAACCAATGAATAGCTTGTCTTCAGAAGTTGTGGGTGGTCCATCACTAGAGGTTTTCAAAAAGAGTGAAAAAAGTACACCCCAAAAGGACAGTACCAGAAACCACTAAAACAATGCAGAAAACTTAAAACAGCAATTCTCCTTTTTTTAAAAAGTCTATCCCAAAGTAAACGCAGCAGCTAAGAGGAAAACTAAGAGCAGCTGCTCATACTAATGGAAAGCCTGGGCATGCTGCCAAAAGCCATTAACCTTTCCAATTCTATTATTCTATGTTCTCTATGTTCTAAATTCGGTGCTTCACAGCAGAAGCAATACAGCTGGCTGGATCACACATGCATTAAATTCACAGCCTGTATGATCAAGCTGCATCATTGTCCCCTCCTGTATGTTTTCCCCCAGGAAAAAACAAGAAGTAGCTAACACTGCAGCAGCTATAAAAGGTCTTGGGGAACTCCAGGGAGTATCAGCTGATCACAGAAGTGTTACTTAATACTCCTTATAATGAAAATATTTGTAATCTTGTCCTTCATCCTGAAGAGAAGAGGTTAATCTCATTCCTAGATGGGTGATTGATGGATTTCTCCTGTCCTAATCCTGTCTGTTTCTGTTATTTATTGACTTGATTCAGCATGTGTCAGCTGCATTCCAGCTGCAACTGTTAAGTGGTTCTTCGCTGTCTGCCCGAAGCTATTAACTGGAGAGAGAGGGGAGGAGTGGGGAGAGGGAGAAAGAGAAGCTCTCTTGCACTTTATTTTTAGCCGGTTTTCCGAACTGCATAAGCAATTAACTAACAGCTCCGGTGAACTGGTGAGAATCAGCTGAATCCCATCACTGATCATGTCCCTCCAGTAGTGATAATCTTTTATGCTTCAAATTTATCCCCTCTTTTACCCGTGTAAGTACAGATGCCTGATAGTATAGCTGCCAATCTGGTAGCCCAAAACCCCCATTGCCTTTAGACTCCTGTAACATTTTCAATTTTATTCTTGCTTTCATCCCTTGCCAGATATACTTCAAAATTGTTTTATTTAATTCATCAAAATACTTTTTCTCTAGTTTTATTGGTATTGTTTGAAATAAGAAAAGTAACTTCTGTAATATATTTATTTTTATGATAGCTCTTCTCCCTATCATTGATAATTGTAAATTCTTCAATTTCTCCAAATCCAACTTAATTTGTTGCATTAATTTTATAGAGTTATCATCTTTAGTTGTTGTGCATCTTGCTGAGGTAGATACCTAAATATTTCACTTTCTTTATTATCCGAAGATCTATTTTCTCTGTCAGTTCCTTTCTCTGTTTATCTGTGAGGTATTTTTACTATTATTTTCTTTTTTTTCTTTGTTTATTTTCAATCTTGCAACTTCTCCATATTCCTCAATTTCCCCTATCAATCTAGGGGCCAATTTCTAACAGTTCTTCTAGTATAAAGACTAGATCATCTGCAAAAGCTTGTAATTTGTATTTTTCTTTTTTTATTTCCATCCCTTTTATTTCTGAATCCTGTTTAATATTTCTAGTTAAAACTTCCAGTGCTAATATAAATAATAGTGGGGATAATGGACATCTTTGTCTTGTGCCTTTTCTTATGTAAATTTTTTTTGTCACATCTCCATTCACTATCACTTTAGCTCTCTGGTTTGTGTAGATTGCCTTAATCATATTGATAATTTTTTTGCCAAAATCCATACATTTTAATTGTTGTATCATAAATTACCAATTTACATTGTCAAATGCTTTCTGAGCATCTAAAAAGATTAATGCTAGTTTCTTATCACAACGTACTTCATAGTACTCCAGTATATCTAAAATTATTCTCATATTGTTTCTAATTTGCCTTTTAGATAAAAACTCATTTTGGTCAGAATGTATCATTCAAAAATCTTTTTAATCTTTCAGCTATTATTGAAGCAAATATTTTATAATCTGGATTTAATAGGGATATTGGCCTATTGTTCCTTATGTTGTTATGCCTGAGTCTTTTGGGATTAAAGTGATATTAGCTTCTATCCATGTATGTGGTATCTTGGCTTCTAATAAAACTTCATTATATACCTCTAACATTGACAAGCTCAATATATCTTTTGTAGAACTTAATAAATTTCTACTGGTAGACCATCTGGACCTGGTGTTTTATAATTCTTTTGTCTTTTAATCACCTCTACTAATTCTGCCATTGTTATTCTTTCATTCAACATATTCTCCACTGTTTCCGGCACTTTGGGTACGTTAGCTTTTTCCAAGTATTGTGTTTTTCATGGTCATATAGTTTCTTATAGAACTCCTGAATTATATATTTTTTTCTTTTCCATTTGAAAGTGTAGTATACCTTCCTCATCCTACAATTTACTTTTCCATTTCTTCTCTTTCTCCTTCAATTTATAGACTAGCCACTTTCCAGGTTTATTAGCATTTTCAAAAAAAAGTTTTGCTTTTTATTTGTTATGCCAGTTCTTTTTCAATTATATTTAACTTGTGTTTAATCATCGCTATTCGGTTTTTTAGATTTACCTTTTGTGGTTCTTTTTTTGTAGCTCTACTTCAAGTCTTTTATATTCTTCTTCTAAAGTCTTTTGATATTGTTTCTTTTTCTTATTTTTCCTTATTATATAAGGTGTATATAAGAGCCTTAGTGGTGCAGCGGTTAGTGTGCTGTACTGCAGGCCACTTCTGCTGACTATTGGTTGCCTCCAATTTGGCAGTTCAAATCCCAACAGGCTCAAAGTTGACTCATCCTTCCATCCTTCCAAGGTGGATAAAATGAGGATCCAGATTGTTGGCAGCAATATGCTGACTCTGTAAAACCACTTAGAGAGGGCTGGCGAGCACTATAAAGCGGTATATAAGTCTAAGTGCTATTGCCATTGCTATAGCTAATCCCCTAATATAGGCTTTCACTGTGTCCCACACGTTTTGCAATGAGGTCCCCTCTTTCCTGTTCTCTTTTTTTTTAAAAATCCCGTTACTCTTTCCATCATCTGTATAAATTCTTTATCTTTTAGAATAAATTGATTTAAAGTCCATCTTACTCTTCTCTTTTGTCCCTTCCAACTAATTTTAACTGGATTATGATTGGCCCATAAATTTGTTTCTATTTCTATTTCTTGCACATTTACATTTAGTTCTGAGGTCATCCAAATCATATCTATTCTAGACCAAGATTGGTATGTGTTAGAATAAAATGTTATTGGTTTTTCCGTGAGTTCCTTTCTCTCCATGTATCTTGTATAGATAGTTCTTCTGTCATTTTAGAAAAAGTTCTAGGTAAAGTCTTTCTACTTTTTTCCCCTTATTTTACTACTTTTATAATCAATTTTGTATCAACTATTGCATTAAAATTTCCTAAGAGACAAATATTTTCATATTCTGTTTCAAGTATCTTCTTATGAAATTTTTAATAAAATTATTCTTATCCATTATTTGGTGCATAGATAGCAACTAAGAATATCTGTTTTTGATTTAAGGTCACCTCCACCATCAAAATTATTCCTTCTTCATTTTTAAAAATTTGATTAGCACTTACTGTTTCTTTGATATATAACAATAAGACCAAGGAGCTTATAATGGACTATAGAAGGAACAGATCAGACATCCAGCCCTTGCTTATCAATGGAGACCGAGTGGAGCAAGTGGCCAGTTTTAAGTTTCTGGGTGTTACCATAAAAGAGGACCTGACCTGGGGTGCTTTTTTGTTGTGATAGCAAGGAGAATAATTTTCCCAATTTAGGGTACTCCAATAATTTAGTATGGTGTTTTTTTTAATATGTACTTATTGTAGTGATATTATGTCTAATCTTAATCTTTGTAATTTTGTGAATATTTTTTTTCTTTTCATAGAAAAATTTAGTCCATTTATATGAACTGATAGCATATTTATTTCTTCTTGTATTGCTTTACTTGTATACAGAACTTGTGCTCCTAGTTGCTCTTATTTCTCTGTGTTCCTTTGCTCTTGCTCCTTCTTTTTTCTCCACTCTGCTTTCATCTTGTTGTGTGCACTTTTCTTCAATCATTGGCACTTCTTGTACTTTATACATTGTTTCTCCCCTCACTTCTTGCTCCTCTTCCATGTTGACATGGCAATCATAAATTCCATTGCTTTGTCCAGTGAATCCAGTCTATGTCTTTTTTCCTGCCAAGTAACTAGTATTCCCTCTGGAATCAGCCATCTAAAGTTTACATTGTAGTTGTCGCACTCGGCTCGGGCCATGTGCAACACCTCCGGAGCTCACCGGTCCACTCACCAGCTGATTCAGGCTCTCTGTGTGTTGGTTATGTTACATCAGCAGGGCAATGCCTGAGTGACTGTGATGCAACTCCCCACTGATTAAAGAGAAACTGAGGCCCCAGGCTGCAAATGAAGATCATAAATACCTGGAGACCGATAGGATGGACAACCATGACACTGGTGGAAGGTGTAGGCAATTGGATGAGGATTTTGAGGTGCTTGTGTGGTGGTGTGCATGTGGTTGTGTGGGATGTGGGACAAACGGAATGCTGGCTTACAGGGCGAGACCGGATATTAGAAGCAGAGCAATTACTGAACTAGATAAATGGGGCTCTGAGCTGGCAAACACTCAGAGCTGACTTTAATCAAATGTTCTCGTTACTTCTTGTTGTCTCTACCTGCAAAGGAATAAAAATTCTTGCCAGCTTGCTTGGACTTATTTGTTGTTTATTGACTCATCAGACGTGCTGGCCACAGAGTAGCTGAGAGGAAAGTCAACTCTTCCTCACTTTCGTTTGTGAGTACACATTTGTGTGTATTCAGGTGGCTAAGGGACTTGATGCTGAGGGAGTGATGGATCCCATGGAGGAAGCAGTAGAAGCCGAGCCGGATAGTGATGGAGCCCCTGGCATGGGTTCACAATGGGTGGCTGTGGAGGATTTGCAGCTGGTGGTGAAGCCCAAGGTCCCAAGGAAGAGGAGGAGTGAGGCTGACCATTCAGGAGGAAGGTGCAATTGAGGACTTTCAGCCTGTGGTGAGGCCAAAGGTTCGGAAGGGAAGAAGGAAGAGATTGACTGTTAGGAAGAAGGGGCTGCAAAGGCCCCGCATTGAAAGCCCCCCTCATTGACATTGTGGCCACCTGGACAATTTGAGAGATGGAGGGAATGCAGAATCACAGAAGAGGATGAATGGAGTACGTTGACCACTAGTCTAGGCATTTTGGAGCTTCTAAGGTTGAAATATGGAGAGCTTAGTATACAGGAGTCTGAAGTCAGACCTTCTTGGGAGGCTCAACAGGGAGGAAGGCAAACTGTTGATATCTCATTTTTCAACCCAGCTTTCCAAGGCAGCCAGAATCATCTCTCTGAGAGAAAAGCAGTGGGGGAGGATCCAGGGACTCTCAATTCCTCTCTGGCTCAAGTTGTGGGGCTGTCAGGTAATAGAGCTCGAGGCTCTAGGTCTTTGAGCTCTAGTGCAGAGTGGGGAGAGGCACCCGCAGGGTTTTGTAGGTGGGACCCCAATTGTGGGGCCCAGTCACCAGCTGGGTAGTGGCCTCAGCATATGGTGTGGGGCCTGCCACCATTGCAGGCATCATTTGATGGCAAACCAGATATGGTGGCCATGTTCTTGAGTCAGGTGGTTAACCACTTGGAATTGTATGCCGCTTGTTACCCCTCACAGTGGGCTATTGTAGTAGTCATAACAGGGGTACTGGTGGGGAATGCAGCCAATTGGGTGGCAGAACTACATAATATGCATGCTAGAGAACTGGGGCTGTTCTGAATGCATTGAGAGCCCAGTTTGAGGACAGGTTGAGAGTACATCAGACAGAAGGGGAGTTGATGAGCAGAATGGTAGGCCAGCCAATGAATACGTAAAGGAGTTTTGGAAGGTGGCAGGCAAGTTAAGGGCTTGGCCAGAGAGGCTGTTAATACATCACTTTAGGGCTGGTTTGGATCGTTAGTTGCACCAGGCCTGCCTATATAGAGGGGTCCCAGAGAGACTGGCTGATTGGTTTAGAATGGTGGTGTGATGACTCAAGAGTGTAACACAAATGTAACAAAATCCAAAACATAAATAAATGTCCTTTATTGCCTCCAACTTGGCCCCACTGTTCAATAATACTCAGCTGGAGATAAAACATACTCAAAAATAGTCTTCAAAAGAAAGCAATAAAGTCTGAATTTAATTAACAAATAGAGGTGAAATAAAAAAAATCAAACAAACTACAATGATGAAATTTTCACAACGGAACAGGAGAATATTTACCAAATTCAAGGAGATAACAAAGCACAGTCTGTTGGAAGGATACCAACCAAGATAACTTCAGACCAAAATAAAACATGCTTGCTTCTGGCAACCTGTGTTTTAACCATCTCTCTAATATACTCAACTCCCCAGCTGTAACCACTGAAGAGGATCATTGCCGCTTCCTCTCTCGCAAGCCAAGTTGTTGCCTTCTCCATTCCTCCCTGTGTGTTCTAGGATGCAGAGGGGGTGGGCCTGGTTCTTCCTCTGACTGCCCAGTTGGCCTCAGCCCTTCCCCAGCCTCCTTCACAACCTCTGGAGCCATATCTCCACTACCTGTGAGCTGTTCCTCCTCTCCCTCAAAGTATGACTCTACCAAGGGCATGACAGGTGGTGGAATTATATGTAGGGCTGAAGGAATTCAGACTGAGGACTGACAGACCTAGGAAGCCAATGCAAGGAACGGGGATGGGACAAAACAGAGGGTTGAGTGCCTTGGAGAGCTTGAGGGAACAGTGGGGACACCTGCATATTAGATGTTTTAAGTGTAATGTATTTGGCAACAGATTGTTCGCTGCTTGGAGTGATCCCCATGAAACAGACAGCCCAAGTTTCATCCTCAGGAACTGTAAGGACTGATTCATTAGGAGAGGATTGAGATGTGGCACTCCCAGAAGTGAGCGGTCGCAAGGAGCCTCTCAGAAGGATGTGATGGATGAAATGCCAATTGGCTGAGATAACAGACTGTGTAGAACTAGTCCCCAGCCTCGGGTGGTGTCAGGCCTCTATGACAGTGGAGACGAGAGTCAGGGGGACATTTTGATAAGCACTCCTGTTAGGCCTTTTGTCATTCCCGTGGTGATAGAGAATCTTGCGTACAGCAAGGAGGGAACGTTACAGAGCATTGATAGACAGCAGATATATGAGGTGTTTAATCAGCCAAATGGTTGTTGATGCTCTTTAAGTGACAGTGGTACCCCTCCCCAGGCCTATGTGGTTTGAACAAGTAGATGGGCTACTGTTGGGGGGAGCTCCTGCTATTCTGATGACTGAACCTGTAAGATTGGAGATTGGGGCTCATTGAGAGCATATATGTTTTGTGGTAGTGCCAGAGATGAAGGAGGCCATACTTTTAGGTCTAGTGTGCTTGGACAAGTGGGAGACCACTATATGGAAGGAGGGTTCCAGAAATTGTGAAGTATAATTGGACCTGAGCCTCCTCAACACATACAGGATGGGGACAAGGTTGGGGCCATGATGGAGGAGACCCCCATATCCAGCTGTGTACAAAGACTTGGCAGAGATGTTTAGTGAGAAAGAATGTGAAACCCTGCCACCCCACAGATTAACAGATTGCACCATTGAACTGATTCCTGGTGCAAAACTCCCAAAGCCACATATGTATGCCATGACCTCTAAGGAGATGGGAGAAATGTGATCATATTTGGACAAAAATCTCACCAGGGGGTTTATCCAACTGGGCTGTTCACATGTGGCCGCGCCTGTCCTATTTAGAGAGAAGTTGGGGCTTATGCTTTTTTTTTAAACAAATTTTATTAATTTTAAAGACAAACAAAACATCATTAAACATTGAAAACATAAAACCTCTTTCCATTATAGATCTTTACAAGGCAGGTAGAACATTATTTTATATCGCATACTTCTAATTTACCCCATTTCCATATAGACACATAAATTCCTTTTAACAAATTTCTCATTATTTCTCTTTACTCTTATTCAATTACATTTCTTTTCCATATTTATCTACTATTAAATCATCATATTTATATTTCCCTCTGACTTGTTTACAATTATTCTCATCTAACATTCCTCTGAGATTTTATTAATTCTCAATCGAACATACACACACAAAACACAAAAACATAAAACTTCCTTTTAGAAAGTAGCTTGGCCCCAGATTACCTCTTTTTGTATGGACTTCAATTAAATTCATGCTCTTCTTGTATACCATTACCTATCTTATTTACCATTCTATATCTTCTATATAACTCCTCCCCGCTTTTCACTCTTCTTAATTCTATTTTATATATTTCATCTTGCTTTAAATCAATATATTTATATCTTTTGTCCATTTTTTTCCATTTAAACATTTGTCTCATTCTCAATAATAAAAAAAGATAATTCCTCCTGAAATCACTAATCAGAGTATGATGCCTTTCTATCATTCCCCTAAATTAACATTTAAAATAGCACCTAGATCCCAATCCAATTCTGCTTAGTACATTCTACTATTTCAAAAACAAATACTATAATAATAAATCTATAATAACATCAACACATTAGCCCATTAAACTCTATAATTAAACTAATATTTTAAACATTTCCTTTAATATTTTATTAAAACTTAAAGTCAATCATTATTAAACATTTTAACATTATACTTTAATATTTTAATCTTTTATTGAATCTTATAAAATTCTAATTTTCTATTTTTAATACAAATACTACAGTACTATCATATGTACTTTGCAGAATCCTTTAAAAAAAAAAAAATTATACATTACCCTTTGTCCCTAAATTTTTTTTTCTTTTTCCCATCTTGTTTTATACCTTTGTGACTTTTTTTCCCCTTTTCCCTTTCTTTCTTGACCCACCTAGCCTTTTTACCCACTCCTCTCCTAACCTCCACCTTTTTGGCTTCCCCTCTCTGTTGTATTCTTCTTTCCTTTTGCTTTCTAACATTATATTGATTTTGCATCTTATTTTTCTCTTTCATAGATATTTTTTTAAGTTTTAAGTCCTTCCTTTTCCCTCCTCTCTTTCTCCTTTCTTTCTTGATCAAACTTTTTAGTTCATTAAAAATGGCTTCTTCTTCCTCCGCTTATTCCAGCTGTTGTTGAATTTGCTGAAAAATAGCAAGCGCCATTTCTAAAAAGCAAAAGGCTTCTCCCATGGCGTCCTTGTCTTCTTTTTTTATTTTTGCGTATTGTTTTCTTAGTTCATCAAGAGATAGAGCCATTATAAACCTTTTCTTCTTCTTTTTCTTTATCCTCTTCTTCTTATTAAGCCAACCAAGATATTTCCAAGCTTAAAACAATTCCCCAAAGTCCCAAAGTCATCAAACAGTTCAAACAAAGCACAAAGTTCTTCCCTTTGCAGTTTCTCTTCCTGGGGTAATATCAATTAGGAAAAAAACCCAATCTGTATTTTAAAGCCTTTTTGCAGTTAGCTTCTAGTCTCTTAATCTTCAAGGCATCTCCTCCAACAAAGTCTTAATATAAATTCTTTTTTTTTTCCAAACCTCTCCCTTCCCACTTATAACAAAGGGCTTTAAATTTTTACCTTCTGTTAAAAAGCAGGTTTTTCAGTGTCCATTTGTTAGTTCTGTAAGGGAGGGAGAGTAACTTTCCCTTTCAGCACTTTCATTCGCCGTTTTAAGAAACCTCCACTGGGAACAATGTAACATCCAAAAGATAGTAGTTTTCAAGGTATTAAATATGTCCTTAAAGTCCCGGTTCAGCCAAGAAAAACTTTCACTTTGTAACTTCCTCCTTCTTCCTCCTGCACATTCTTAAACCAGTTGCCGGCTTCTTCGTGGCGGCCATTAAGACCGCCGCTCCACCGCCTTGAGAGAAGGGGGTTTTGCCGGTTGGGGAGGGGGTCTGCGATACCCCTCAACCCCTGTCCGGATTCCCCCCTATCTTCAGCTGCCCCAACAGGGGAGCCTTATCCTCCAGATCCGTCGGGATCGGAGGCACCAAGATGGCTAGCATGGCAGGGATCGCACAGGGTCGGGAATCCCTGCCGTCGCCGAAGCCTGGCAAAACCCAGAAGTTGGGGCTTATGTGTATGTGTAGACTTTTGGGGGTTAAATGCCATTTGCATGGAAAATTTATACCCCCTCCCACTGATTAATGATCTTCTGGCTGCCCTGCCGACCGGAGGTTATTTTACAAAACTGGACCTGTGTGAGGCTTATTATAGGGCAGTGGTGGCAAACTTTTTTTGGCTAATGTGGCGATAATTGCACATGCACTTGTGTGTCAGCACCCAGAAAGTAATGTGTGCTGGCCCCCCCCACACCCCCTGCGCCTGCACGCACGATCCCCTCAACACTGGGGGATGATTCCCATTGCCATGTGCCACATGCCTGCAAATACACATGTAATCACCCCATGCATGCACGATTCCTCTGCATGCGCATGTCTCCCGTGGACCTCCCATGCATGCACAGCAGATACCCAACAATCAGCTTTCGGGGGGTGGCGTCATGCACACATAGGCAGTGGGGCTCTTTCGGGCAAGCTCTTGCATGCCGGGGGAAATGGCTCTGCATGCCACTTCCAGCATGCGTGGCATAGGTTCTCCATCACAGTTATAGGATAAGGATTAAACCAGGGGACGAATGGCAGATTACTTTTAATTGTCCCCTTGGAAGTTTCCACTTCAATGTAATGCTGTTTGGTCTCAGCTATTCTTTGGCACAAATGCAGGGAGAAAATAAGACACTCTTTGCTTCAGTATTTGGTAACACAAAAGCTTATTGTTTATTCCTTCCTCTGCAAGGAATCTGAGATAATAGCCAAGCAAACAAAATAAAGTTGGATTTAACCCGAGTTTCCGAGGATTTGATATTTATAATAATTTCCCCTTATTACCCATGATTACCATTTTTAATGATAATTATTCATATGAACTCAATCACATGAATCGTGGTTAATGTGTAGAGCTTCCCCTCACAGCATTTTACATAGACCGCACATATTATTATGATACAGAATTTATTCTGATGAAGAGGAATGCCATCCTTCAGGTTGCTGTGGCTTCGATTCAAACGCGTGCGTCCCCCTCTACCAGGAACCAGTCTATAAAACAATATACATTATATCACTAATTATGTCTCTACTTGTGGTCCAGGTTTATCAGGATATTTGGTATGGAATTGCCTTATCAGTCTATTTGCACACATATCTGCTACTTTCACCCAGGTTGCCTCTGTTTCAGGATATCCTTTCCATCTCACTAAGTACTGTAACACTTTTCTACATATCCACAAATCTAGAATTGTATCAATTTCAGCATGGGTTACATTTTTAGCTATTACAGATTCCTCAAGTTGAGGTATATCAATGTGTTCTACAGGCCTCAGTAAACTAGCATGAAACACAGGATGTATTCGAGGTAACCGTGGTGGCAATTTAAGTTTTACAGTTATGGGATTTATCACTTTCGTAATTTGGAAAGTCCAATATATTTTATTCCCAATTTTCGACTATTTAGGTGTAATTGTATATATCTGGTTGATAGGTAAACATAGTCTCCAGGTTTGAATGCTTTATACTCTTTTCCTTTCTTGTCTGCTTGTTGTTTATATTCTAGTGCTGTTTTATTGAGAGTCTCTTTTACTTTATCCCAACTATCCTGAACCTTTTTTGACCACATTTGGACACTTATGGGTTGTTGTTCATCAAATTGTAAATCAGGGATTGGCACAAATTCTATCCCATTTACTACCTGGAATGGGCTATATCCTGTGCTTTCATGTATAGCATTATTATATGCTACTTCAGCAAATGGAAGTAAATCAGCCCATTCTCACTGTTGATAAGATGTATATGATCTCAAATACCTTTCAATCTATCCAAAATTATCCTCCTAGGTGCGCCATGTAGTCTATATACATGTTTTATAAACAGATTGGCTAATTCTGTTGCCAAAGACAATCCTTTACATGGTATAAAGTGAGCTTGTTTTGAAAACAAGTCTATAATAGTCCAGATTACTGTATATCCATACAGTTACTGCTGGGTAACTCTACAATAAAGTCCATGGCAATATCTTGCCATGGCCGGTTTGGATCCGATATAGTTTGTAATAGTCCTAAAGATTTTCCTACTCAAGGTTTCATAGTAGCACAAATGTGGCATTCTTTAATGTACTGTTCAATGTCTGATCTCATATGTGGCCACCAAAACTGCCACCTTACCAAATGTAGTGTTTTTAAAAATCCAAAGTGTCCAGCCTGCCTTACATCATGACATTGGGATAATATCTTTTTCCTACAATTGGATGGAACATATATTTTATCCCCTCTCCAATACAACCCATCTTTATTTAAACAAGCAGTATTATTTGTTTTTATCCATACATCCATTTTTGTAGCATCTTGTAGTTCCTTTTTGGTTATCTCTTTCGTGGTCAACATCTGAATTTGTTCGGTTGATGGTCCTACAGAAATCATAGGCTGAATAACTTTGTCTCTAGACACATTGTATTGAGGTAGTCTAGATGGTGCATCCGCCATGAAGTTTTTACCTCCCGGAACATATCGCAACTGGAAATCAAAACATTTAAAATACAAAGCCCATCTTACTTGTTTAGGGGATAATTTTCTCAGTTTCTGTAATGCTTGTAAATTTTTATGATCTGTCCAAACTTTGAATTTTTCTTTCAATCTTTCTAATAGGTGTCTCCATGTACTAAGTGCCCATTTTACGGCAAAAGCCTCCTTTTCCCAAATAGCCCACCTGAGTTCTGTGATTGTAAATTTCTGTGATGTATATGCACATGGCTGTAATTGTCCATCAATGTTATACTGTCAGATGACAGTCCCCACAGCCACGTCACTTTTATCAGCTTGTACTACAAAACTTTTAGTTGTAACAGGATGTTTTAAAATGGGCTCTTGAGCAAATAAAGCTTTTAGGTCGTCAAACGCTCGCTGACACTCCTGTGACCACACAACAGGTTGACTAGGTCTGGGTTTTGGCACTTGATGTTTAGTTTTTAACAATTCTGCTAGCGGTAAAGCAATTTGCACGAATTTAGGAATAAACTGCCGGTAAAAGTTTGCAAATTCTAAAAAACTTCATAATTGCTTTCATGTTTTTGGTTCTTTCCAAACAACTGTGGCTCTGACTTTATTGGGATCCATTTCTATTCCTTTATTGGACATTCTGTACCCCAAATAATCCAACGACGTACAGTGAAACTCGCATTAGGAAGTTTCACATATAACTTGGCGTCAAGTAATTTTTTCAAAACTTTCCTCACTAAGGCCACATGTTCCTCCATTGTTTGGGTATAAATTAAAATATCATCTAAATATACTAGAATGACATAATATAAATGTTCCTGTAATACTTCATTTATAAGTTGCATGAAGACAACGGGTGCCCCTTGGAACCCAAATGGCATAACGTTAAACTGAAAACTTCCAAGGGGCAATTAAAAGTAGTAAGTAAGTGGTTTATTGAATAGTCATAAGACTTTATCAGTAACATAACATAAATATATAACGAGACAAAATACAGATAAGTAGATATATAAAAATACAGTAATAAAAACATATGTGGAAAACCAGGGAGTCAAAAATCGGATAATAGATCACCCTTGCAGGATACACCAATTTGTTCAATATATTGGGTTCTTAGGACCGCTGCCTTGATTATAAACTTAGCAGTCTTATGGACGATGTGTACATTAGAGGCCCAGAGAAAATATAACAATCTGTGGTTTGATTCCCAATGGGCTGTTCTTTCCAGTAGAAATGATAAATATTTAAACCTAATGGGGGCATATATTTGGCAGTTGAACAAGATGTGGGAAATATCTTCAGTGGCAGATGAACCACATAAGCAGGTTCTCTCATGGTATGGTACATGGTGGAAGTGCCCATGTCTGGACATGGAATCCAGTAACTCAAATCTGGCTCTGGTATAGGCTCTTCTCTGTAATTGAAAGGTATTTTTCAGGTTGGAAGATGTTTTTTATTCTTAGCCAACCATCTTATAGATGTTTTTTGCTAATAATTCCATGTCAGTCTGGGCACTAATATCCAAGACTCTCTGTTTAAAAATTGCCCTTGCCTGGGAAACCCTTGACAATAAATATTGGGTAGAAAACCCATGTCTTAAGATGGCTCTGTGGAGTTGACTGGCCCAGGAGTTAAATTGGAACTTATTTAACTGACATTTAGGCATAGTTTGGGAAGTCTATCCGAATCCATTGATTGTATCTTTAGCCAGTATGTAAATGTTTTAATTATTAAGTGGCTATGTAAGGAGTAGATACCCAATTCCGCTCTGACTGCTGAAGCAGAAGTGTTCTTATCAGTCCCCAATAAGTGTTTAAAAAAGTGGGTCTGTGTTTGTTCAAGTGGGGAGGCTTTATTTAAACTCCATAGTTCTGCACCATATATCAGCAGTGGAACTATTTTTGCCCTAAATACTTTCAACATAGGGGTCAAAGTGCCTGGGTAATTATGGTTAAATAATTTATATAATCTTTTGGTGCTTATCTCAGCTCTTAATGCACTACTTTTAAAGTGATTAAACCAAGATCCTGTATTAGTAAAGACCACTCCTAAGTAGGTGTAAGAATTTACTTGTTTGATTGACTCCCCATTAATCTGCCAATTATATTTTCTACTTTTTGTGCTGAAAACCAACACTTTGAATTTGCTTTTATTAATATTTAAGAAATTCAAAGTACAATAGGTATTCAGTTTATGCAACAGTCTCCTCAGGGCTATTTGTGAATGAGCCATTAATACCATGTCATCAGCATATAAAAGGGTGTTAATAAATTTATCAAGAATCTTTGGCATATGCAAATTTACTGCATGCAGGAATCCTGGTAAATCATTGACATAGAGATTGAAAAGCATTGGGGCTAAAATGAAGCCTGTCTTACACCAATATTGGTAGGTATGCTCTTAGACAGGGCTCCATTTACACCAGTACGGATTTTCACATGGGTGTTTGAATAAAGGGCCCTAACCAGAAAAAGGAGTCTGGGCTCCATGTTCAGGTCCGCCAGTTTCCTCCACAAGATATTTCTGTTTAACGAATCAAAAGCCGCACTTAGATCAATAAATGCAGTGAATAATTTCTTACCCATTTTTAAATACCTTGTTACCAAATGATATAATGTGAAACAATTATCTATGGTAGATTGCTCTGGTCTAAAGCCTGCTTGTTCCTCTGCCAAAAGATTATTCTCCATGACCCATATTTCAATTTTGCTCAACAAATGCTTTGCATACATTTTAGCAACAATTCCAATTAGGCTTATTGGTCTGTAATTATTTGGATTGCCTCTGTCTCCTGTTTTATGTAAGGGAACAATAATGGCCATTTCCCAACCCACAGGTATGCGGCCAGTATTGTTTATAAAGGTAAATAGCCTTGCTAACAAAGACACCCACCAGTCCATATAAATCTTAAATAATTCCGGGGGCAAAAAATCTTCACCAGGTGCCTTATTAGCTTTTAATGATCAAATAATGGATTTAATTTCTGAAACAGAAACAGGGGACCAGATAGGGAGATTTTCTAAAGTTAATAAATCATTGCTTTGGGTATGCATAGAGTCCTGATTGAGTTTAAAAAGAAGATTAGAATAAAAATTCTCCCAGGTTGAAGCAGGAATGGGGATATCAAAATAAAATTTACATTCCTTCAATATACCCGAGACAGCATTCCAAAAGAAAGCTGAATTTGACCCTTTTGCCCAAATTTCCAAGTCCGACCATAATTTAGTTCTAAAGGAAGCCTTCTTTGATGCTATCAATTTCTTATAATCATGCTTAATTTTCAACATGTTGCTATAGTTTTTTGAGGTGGGACATCGCTGAACCCTATGCATTGCAGCTCTCAAATATTTTCTACTGTGCAAACAGTCAGAATCAAACCAGCTAACTCCAACTTGTTGGCGGTTTCTTATCGGAAGTTTGGCAGTAAGAAATTTCTTCAATGAATGACATAGATCATCATAATGGGCCATAATATTATTTGAGCCTGAAGATGAATGAGAAATTAAGCTTCTTCAGATCTGAGGTTGTGCAGAATCCAAAAAAATAGATAATGCTGCAGTATCAACTTTGGCCCATTTGAGTTTTATATCCTGTCTCACTTCCAGGTTTGCAAAAAAACTTTTGCCACAAGATGAGTTTCTCCATATATCTGAACTGCCTTGAAATAAAACTGAAATTGGTTGGTGATCACTACCTTCCCTCACGTGGACTTGTATATCTGTGAACCTCTCAAGCTTATCTCTTGAAACACATATATAATCTAGAACACTACTGGAGTTACTTGAGTGATAAGTAAAAGGATATATAAAACCATAGTCCTTACCTCCTATAATATAGAGATTACAGTTATAAATCATAGAAACCAATTGTGTACCTGCAATATTTCTTTTGTAATCACTGGAATGCCAGGGAGGAATAGATAGCAAATAATCCTCAGGAATAACACCAAAATAAACAAAGTTATGTAAAGATGCCCCTACCCTGGCATTAAAATCTCCTGCCAAAACTATAGTAACGTTAGGATGTTGGACATTTAATTTTATAACTGTCTCTTCCAAATTTGCCCAACTATTAGGTGTATAATAAGGGGAGGAGTGAGGAGGGATATATATATTCAGCAATATCAATCCGAAAGAACCATAGAAGAACTTGACAATTAAATGAGAAGCAGAAGCATCACCAAAACCGAGCTTCTGGGCTTGCCAGCCCAACTCTACTTTGGCTAAAATTGACAAGCCTCCAAAGGCCCTTCCTTTAATCTTAGATTTAATTGCAGGAATAGACCACGAATCAAAGTCAGGCAGATGGATCTATTCTTCATCTGTGGTCAGCCAGGTCTCCTGAAGGGCCATAAGATCAAAGTTTATCAGGAAATCCTCCAAGTCACCATCCATGGCTCTGGCTTTCCAGCCAGCAATATTCCAGGACAATAGGTGAAAATAATCTACTTGCTTGTCATTTGTCATTATAGGGAGGGAATTAATGTGAGCACTGGGAGGGACACTAACATTTTCCAGTCATTCCTCAGGAGTAATATTATCCAAAATTCCCTCAGAGTCAAAAAAGACGCTCTGTTTTGTTAGGTGTTTGCCTTCACTACTGCCAAATTGGTAAACAGAGTTCCAAATGCTTCTGAGGGCCAACAACTTGTTGCAAAGTTATCATTGTAGGTTGGCCCAGTGGGATAGTATCCGAGACCAAAGGGAGTAGCAACGAGCAGGTGGGAACCTCCTTATGATGCAGTTCAACACCTACTCCAAGGTTATCTTCTATTTGTTGTTCTATTAGTTGTTCCACAGTAATTGAGCAACCACTCCTTTCTTCTCACCTGTACACCTCTTTTACAAAGTTATTATTTGCAGCATCTATATGAAAAGGAATTTCATCAGAATTCTCAGAAAGAGCATTAATAACATCTGCAACCAGGATAGCAAATTCTATGGAAGGTTTTGCAGCTTTACGTGTGACTTCTAAAAGATCCTTCAGGTCGTCTAATCTTTTAATGATGCCCACTTGTTCTAGCTCTGGCAAAGTACAAAAAGAATTAATCAGGCTTGATTCCAGTATCTCAGTATGCTGCTGGATAGGAGGTTGATTTTTCAAGTTGCCATTTCTCAAGGGGGAGATAACATCCTTAGAGTTAACAGCTTTAAAATCATTGCAATTAGGCTTGCAGAAAGCAGTGCTCTTCTTGCCAATATGAGTTATTAAAGGATTAATACCCTCCTTAGTAAACACGCAAATAGGAAAAATTCCAAATTCACTAAGGAAGGAACTCATTTTAAACAGCATACTGGCTATAGTGGGTTGTTTAAAAGTCAACAAAATACGTTTAAAAGCCCCTCTGGAGGGAAGCCATTCCACCCTCTGCAAATCCACCAGCTGCCTTTCACAGCGAAGAAGCTGGCTAAGGGAAACAATAACCGCATTTCTAAATCCCCACTTCCCTTTATTCGTTTGGTTATTTAAAATTTTTAAGGTAATCTGATGCCGTTGTAGATAACAGTTAAAACTTGTGTGCTTTTTATCTGAGACTTCTTGGGAGAGAGAACCTTGCTTAGCATGCACCTCTAGGTGAGGGAGTAGATCACATGACAAGTTTTTTATACTTTTAGTGAAACCCAAGTTAGCGTCCATCTTTGGATCAGCAAACTTAACAATTGACTCTTTTAATGAGTCCACTTTCTTGTTGACCTCAGTTAAAAGCTCAAAAGTAGTCAGCACTGTCTGTGCCGTCAGCATGCATTGCCTAGATATAAAATCAAAAAAAGTTTTTATTTTGTAATTCCCCATACTCTTGTTGCAACAGACCCTCAGTGGCAACACTGACAGCTGATGTTTGAAAGAGGGAATACTCCCCTGATAAGGAAGCAGAAATGTCCAGAAGCTGTGAGCTCTCTACCTCAGCTTGAAAGTCCCAATCCAGTGGATCGTATCTGTTAGAAACGCTAATAAGTGAGGATGATAATTTATTACTTACGACCATTGACTGAATATCATTCAAAAAGTCATCCATTTTAAGTTGTTTGGTAGGGTTGCATACAGACTGTAAAGCTGAAAGAGGATGCTCCCTCTTCTTCCGTTTCCCGTTGCTCATGGTG